TTTGTTACATACTAAATGATTGAATAAAATATCGGTAATATGTCTATACTCATGTCTACAGTAAAGTATGGCCCTTCGGCCTGTCTGAAGGTTAGGGATTTGGAGTCGTTTGTTAAAAAGCACAACCATTTAGCCAATTTGTTGTTTAGGGGTTTAAGGCTCAAGGCTCTTTAGTTCACATGTACAGGCTACAAAGATCACACATTTGTAACAAAGTTTTTATGAAATTTAAAATTTTTTTTCGACATTTTCGTCCACCACATTGGTTCCGCCATTTTCAATTTTCAAAATCTGATATCAGATTTGTAAAGAGCGATCTCGAAAACCCCTATATACAAATCTTCTACAAAATATTATGGATTGAAGTATACTTATAGTTATTTTGTGTTAGGGGTGGTTTACCCCCCCTCCCTAGGGGTAGTATCTATGAAAATACCAAAAAACTTAATTTGTTTATTATAGATGTTGACAAATTTTTTCCATTTTTTTTAGTCGTTTAAAACTTTTTTATTATATAAAATTTTTTTTTCGATATTTCCGTCCGTCATATTAGTTCCGCCATTTTAAATTTTCAAAATCTGATAACAGATTTGTAATCAGCGACCTCGGAAACCTCTATATACATACTTTCTACGAAATATTATGTATTGAATTACATATTTACAGTTATTTTGTGTTAGGGGTGGTTTACTCCGCTTAGCGGTAATATTTATTAAAACACCGAAAGACGTTAACTAAATTTATTACACAGGCACACAAAAAATAAAAAGTGGTCTGTATCAAAAACAACACACATATATTCCCATTATTTTGCCACGCTGAATCCGAATCCGCAGTCAGTTTAACCCCAGTACGTCAGGATCAAGGTCATTTGAAGGTCAAACTCGAATAAAAGTAGTATAAAAAAATGTAACTAGTATTTCTATGGTTTCGAGGGTCGCTGAACATAAATCCGTCATCCCCTTGACCCAAGCACGCCAGGTTCAAGGTCATTTCAAGGTCAAACATAGATATTGCACGAAAAGTTGAATTCTGACTACAGATTTTGAAAGTACGGAAAAAATTACGTTCAGAGACAATTTTTTCAATTTTTTTTATCGTGAATCCAGCGGTCATTTCGAGGTCATTGTATTTTGATCCCATGAAAATCAGTATGACCATTTTGAAAAAACAGAAGTACGTCTTCAATGAATAAAAAAACTCTTTCCATACGTTTTGACGGTTGCTGAATCCAAATCCGTGATCTCCGTGACCCAAGCACATCAGGTTCAAGGTCATCTGGAGGTCAAACTCAAGAAAACGTAGTTTAAAAAAATGTAACTAGTATTTCTATGGTTTTGAGGGTCGCTGACTCCAAATCCAAAATTAGAATTGCTCCGACTACTCGAGTTTGGTGTACAAAGTGATAGAATTTATACTTCTCTTTTCTTGTAACGGACCCTCTTATCTTCAAAAGATCTATGCAGCGGTTTTCTTTTTCTTTTTTCCGTTTCTGACTCGTTTTCCCTTTTAAGCATCCAGCAAAAATCTGCCATCATATTTACATCCCATCTTCCTTGATACCGGCGTTCCATCTCTTTGATATCTTGATGAAACCGTTCACCCTGTTATTCGCTATAGCCTGAAAGCGTAAGATTTTATATCACACCTACGTTTTTCGTGTGCCGGAACCCAGGGCACCTCAACGCGGTGACGGCGGGAAACGGCTTTTTTTCTTTTTTTTGTTTTCCGGCAAAGCTCTGGGGTGAAAGCACGATGCCGTCATGGCCGGCACACGAGAAGGTACGATGCAGGGTTTCGGATGCCCAGTATCGGCGGTTGGTCAGGGTGAGCAAGCGGGCCCGCAAGCGTCGTCATCAAGTGACCGCAAGTCTAGTAAATAGAATCTACTTTTCATAGGTGTGATGGAAAAACAGATGATTTCTGTTATGTTTGTGGAAAATTTGAAGTGCCAAAATATCGAAGGCTGTTATCAGGTTTATAACTATTTACGAAGAATGTTTTAATTTAAAGGTTGTCAGCCAAAATACAGTCTGGGTACCTCATATGATTTGCAATTGTTACAGAACAATATTATCACGATGGGAGAAATGTCGGACTCGTAGTCAGCTCAAATTTTCACAGCCTATGATATGGTCTGAACCTTTATGTCGAGTCGATTGCTATTTCTGTATGACCAAGACTTTTGGCTTTAACGCAACTACAAAAAATAAAATCGTGTACGCTGAAGTAGCATCAGTAAAAAAGCCAATACCGTTAGAAGAGGAAGCTACTGACCAAGAACCTATGGAAGTTGATACATCACTTGCACCAAAGGAAATGGAAGTTGTTGAATCCTCAGATGAGGAAAGTGACAGTCAAAGTGATAGCAAAGAAGATGAATATTTACCAAGAGTTGTCTCGAATAATACCCCCGAAACTTTCAATCAAAAATAGTTGAATGATCTCGTAAGAGATTTGGGATTACCCAAAGATGGAGCCGAGTATCTGGCCGCAGTATTGAAAAAGAAGAATTTGTTGTCCAAGGGGACAAAGGCTTATGTTTATCGGAATAGAGAAGAGAAGTTTCGTAAGTTCTTTGCCAAAAATTCAGAGAACTCGATGACATTCTGTACAGATGTGAGAGGATTAATGAATGAATTGAAACCTAATATTTATAAAGATGAAGAGTGGAGGTTATTTATTGACTCTTCTAAACGAAGCCTCAAAGCTGTACTTTTGAACAATGGAAACTCTTTTGCGCCTATTCCGATAGCTCATTCAACGAAGTTGAAGGAAACATACCAGAATTTGGAAGTTGTATTAGAAAAAATCAATTACTCGGATCACAAATGGAAAGTGTGCGGTGACCTTAAAATTTCAACTCTGATTCTGGGTCAGCAGTCAGGTTTTACAAAATATCCCTGTTTCTTGTGTCTGTGGAATAGTAGAGATAGAAAGCATCACTATGTACAGAAAGAGTGGCCAAAAAGAACTGATTTCAATCCAGGCGTACAAAACGTTCTCCGGGATCCTTTAATAGATCCTTCAAAAATTTTGCTCCCACCCCTTCATATCAAACTTGGTCTTATGAAGCAATTCGTCAAAGCTCTGAACAAGGATGGAAAATGTTTTGAATACTTAGGACAGAAGTTTCCAGGCATAAGTGATGCCAAACTAAAAGAAGGTGTTTTTGATGATCCCCAAATCCGCACTTTATTCAGAGATAACGACTTTATCACAAAGATGACCCCTGTAGAATTGGCTGCATGGTCAAGTTTCAAGAAAGTAGCAGAAAATTTCTTCGGGAATCAGAGAAGTGAAGATTAAAAAACTTTGGTGGAAAATTTATTAAATAGCTACAAAGAATTAGGATGCTTAATGAATTTAAAATTGCACTTTCTACATTCTCATCTTGATTACTTCCCAGAAAATCTCGGAGACTATAGCGAAGAACAGGGTGAACGGTTTCATCAAGATATCAAAGAGATGGAACGCCGGTATCAAGGAAGATGGGATGTAAATATGATGGCAGATTTTTGCTGGATGCTTAAAAGGGAAAACGAGTCAGAAACGGAAAAAAGAAAAAGAAAACCGCTGCATAGATCTTTTGAAGATAAAAGGGTCCGTTACAAGAGAAGAGAAGTATAAATTCTATCACTTTGCAAACCAAACTCGAGTAGTCGGAGCAATTCTAATTTTGGATTTGGAGTCAGCGACCCTCAAAACCATAGACATAGTAGTTACATTTTTTTAAACTACGTTTTCTTGAGTTTGACCTCCAGATGACCTTGAACCTGATGTGCTTGGGTCAAGGAGATCGCGGATTCGGAGTCAGCGATCCTCAAAACCATAGAAATACTAGTTACATTTTTTTAAACTACGTTTTCTTGAGTTTGACCTCCAGATGACCTTGAACCTGATGTGCTTGGGTCACGGAGATCACGGATTTGGATTCAGCAACCGTCAAAACGTATGGAAAGAGTTTTTTTATTCATTGAAGACGTACTTCTGTTTTTTCAAAATGGTCATACTGATTTTCATGGGATCAAAATACAATGACCTCGAAATGACCGCTGGATTCACGATAAAAAAAATTGAAAAAATTGTCTCTGAACGTAATTTTTTCCATACTTTCAAAATCTGTAGTCAGAATTCAACTTTTCGTGCAATGTCTATGTTTGACCTTGAAATGACCTTGAACCTGGCGTGCTTGGGTCAAGGGGATGTCGGATTTATGTTCAGCGACCCTCGAAACCATAGAAATACTAGTTACATTTTTTTATACTACTTTTATTCGAGTTTGACCTTCAAATGACCTTGATCCTGACGTGCTGGGGTTAAACTGACTGCGGATTCGGATTCAGCGTGGCAAAATACATGGGAATATATGTGTGTTGTTTTTGATACAGACCACTTTTTATTTTTTGTGTGCCTGTGTTATTATGGATGTTTAAAGATTTTTTCCAATATTTTTTAGTCGGTTGAAACTTTTTTATTATAAAATTATGCCAAAGATATGTTTTCAACCCCTAAAAAATAGGGAATGCTACCCTTACTCTTCAAATCACTATGAACTACTTGCTCCTTTGGTACGAAATAACCTCCAATTTATTTCACTAAAAAATTTTAATTTTAAGCCGAAATATTAAAAAAAAAACGCTTTTTGGGGGTTAATTGTAGGGGAGGTTTTTACCCCTTAAAAGTGAAAATTAGCCGATAAAAAAAAATAAGTGTCTTTTATTTTTTTATGTTCTACTATATGTACTAGGAACACGACAGCGCGCTACGCGCGCGCATAATCTCATTTCACTGCGAAAATTCGGATAAAATTAAATTAATTGTAACTGAATAATTCTCGTAAATTCAGGAAGTATTATATCACATAAAGAAATAATTATTGAAAAAGTATATATTAGTAGACACTGAAACTCGTAAACGATCTAAGTAGGTGTATGTTTTTAAATATAAATATATTTATATAAACTTCTTATAGTACCCTGTTCTTCGATCAGATATGCTCACCTATACAATTCTGTGTATACATAGTTTTTAACTAATGAAGTCTCCCTCTGGTTTCCTAGATAAATTTTCAATGAATCCCACGATCTAACTCGGGACATAGCAACGTAAAGTTGTCCATGATTAAAAACATCTCTTCGAAGATCGATGCCAATTTTTTGTAAAGTTTGGCCTTGCGATTTATTTATGGTAATAGCAAAAGCCAACCGAATCGGAAATTGTCTTCTTTTGAAAGTGAATGGATATAGATTTTCACAATACAATGTAATTCTATTAAGAAAAATAATGTTATTGCGTTTGTCGCCCGTTAATATTTTACATTTTAGTAAATGATTAGAAAAATCTATTATTTGTAATCTTGTCCCATTACACAACTCTTCACTGAGACTTATATTTCTCACTAACATAACTATGCAAAATCGTCTTAAACGCAATATATGAGGAGGGAAGATTGGTGGATTTAATGAATTAAGATACTCTGGTAAAAGAATATCTCCCATTTCACCATTATCACAATTCTCCGTGCTATCAATACCAGTATATATATGCTCACTGTTTTTATCCAATAAATTAGTAATTCTGTCATTCATGTCATCTACGTCAGCATTCCTGGCAGAAAGAATAGCACAATTACTTATTTCATCAAATTTTTTATTTGTGATAAATGTACCAAAAATGTTTTGAACAATACATTCATTCGCGGGAAGTATGCAATGTTGTGGTAATTCTATATTGTTATCCTGATCATTTAATGTTCCATTTCCGACATCCAATAAATATTTAGCAAATTCAATTTCTTGCGGTAAAACTCTCATATTTGTGTGTAATTGGTATTTTACAAAATGTGTCCATAAATGACTGTTTTTTATAGATAAATTTAATATTTCATCACGTGTTCCTTTTACTTTAATTGGCAATAGCTGCCTGAAATCACCACCTAAAACCAGTATTTTGCCTCCGAACGGTAGATCATTATTCATGATATATTTCAAAGTTCTATTTACAATTTCCAAAGCATATCTCGGAGCCATTGGTGCCTCGTCCCAAATGAATACTTTAGTTTCTTTTAAAAGTATACCTTCCTTTGATTGTATTTTAATATTTGAAAACGAATCATTAAACATAGGAACTGGTAAACCAAAAGTTTTATGTACTGTTTTTCCGTTTGGCAACAAAGTAGCAGCAATACCAGTAAAAGCCATTGTAGAGCATTTGATGTTTTCTGACATTAAAAGATGATAAATGGTTGTGTAAAGAAAAGTTTTTCCAGAGCCTCCTTGACCATCTATATAAAAGTTATTCGATGCAGTATAATTACTTGAACGTGAAGCAATAAGAACTTCATCAACTATTTGTTTTTGTTCTGGATTTAACATTTGATATTGTCGATTGCCAATTTCTAAGTGATTATTATCTTCATCATGATTATTGTCGTGGACTATAGCATCCATAACATTTTGTTCCATTGTTGGAAAATCTGCTAAACTTCGTCCTTCTGTAATTAAAATATCATTAATTTCTGAGTAAGCCATTTGGTAACATATATGTAATTCATAGTTACGCGCGAAATCTTCCGACATTTGTTTTTTAAACATTTCCCACAGTTTTTCCGGATAAATTGGTTGACAGTGAATCAGTATACGAACGAATAACTGCCTCAAGGTAGATGTATTGGTAATCTTGAGACTGAATGACTTTTATCTTGTAGTTTTTTACTGAAAATGCGGTAGCATGCCTCCACAGGACCAACGTAACGTGTTTCAATAAAATTACGACATTCATCGTGTTCAATAACGTTACCATTATCAGATTGTCCAATTACAACCGTTGCAGCATCGTGGCCTTTGTAGATGTATTTATACAAATATTTGACTGCATTAATACTTGAGACAATCTCCACATTAATATGGCAATCGAACATTAGTAACAACGTAGTACAATGTGGAACAACCCATATGTTTTTTTCGTTATCATGACTTTTACGATAATGTGGGAACCCATTTTCATCCATTGTAGTCTGTTCTTGAAATTCCTTTGGAAAATTTTTTGAGCATTTTCCGTCTTTCATACACCAATCACCGCAGGGACCATGAATCATATTTCTCATAACTATGTCAAATAAACGTGGATCTCTTATTTCAATTGGTATTTCGGCTGATATGTATTTGTCCACTATTTCTGGCGTGGTAATTTTATACCCTTGTTCCAATGTAATTAATAAATGCATATGTGGTAAACCTCGTTTTTGAAATTCAATAACATACACATATGAAGCGACTTTTCCAAAAAAATTTTTCTTTATAACAGTATCAAGTAAACGTTCTTTTTTTAAATCAAAAACTCTCGCAACTAAATCTGGTCGATCTGAAGCTTGCTGACCTGGTAATAAATTTTCCGATATTTCAGGCCAATTTGGATTACATGTCATCGTTAGAAAAATATCCGGTTTTCCAGTCTCATTGACAATAGCCATTGCATCTTGATAACATTGCTGCATATAGCGAGGTGAGCCGATGAATGTTGATGGTAGAATTACAGTTTTACCTACATGACCATTTATGTCATTTGCACAGTTTCGCATATGATCATGTAAACCTTAGTACGTATCGCTCGTAATTCTTTTTGATGGTATTTATGCCATTGAATCCTCTCTCGTTCAATTTTGACATAACTATCTACTACCCATTGTTGATACAATCTACGTCCTCTAATAATAGGATTAAATTCATTGTCTCTGATAGTTATGCGGTATTTAGTATAATCCAACCGCGTAAGCCGAGCACGTCGCTGAGTATTTGTACGCTCCATGTCTTGATGCCAACCTTGTGAACCGTAGGGGTAAAATAACGGATAAATCCATGATTCTATATTAGGATCTAAAGAACTAACAATTTGTAATGATTTTGTGTTTTTATTTCTAATAGTTACATATGATTTTGGTATTTCTCCATCAGCAGTTGTCGAAAATATTGCAGCAACTTCATTGACGCGTTGAAAATTATATCTACGGCTGTCTTGACCAAGCTTTAATGAAAATAATAATTGCAATTCTGGTTGCGCTGAATCACCGTGTATATCACTTATTAGTTGCTGCAATTGTATTTCTTCATTCATCATTGCGTAAGATTTGGCATAAATGTTATTATCACGAATGATACTATCCAAAACTGTCATTAATTGATAATCTATAACATTATTTTGCTGCATTCTATAATTTAAAGCTTCATTTTGATCCATTATAAAAAGTTGTCCATATGACGGATTTTCGCCATCGCTAGGATATAGTGCAGTATTCATTTGATAATATATCTGACCTTGTATTTTAAAACAGTATGGTCCTGGTCTACGTGTTTGAAAATTTACTAAATTGGCATTAAATGAGGCAAATAATAAAGAACTATTATAACTACGTATATTTTCAAATGTTCTCCTTGGAATAATCTTGACAGTTCTGGTGGAAAATCTGGAAACGTATCGAATTGAACACATCCATGGCCGCAACAATCATTAAACGATAATCCTTTATTCGATACTTTTTCGTCTTTAAAATGCTTAGCTTTAAAATGTTCATGTTTACATATAACATCCATTGGTCCTAAATAATCTGGTTCTACTGTTTGTTGTAAATTACGATTGATGTCAATAATATTTTGGCGAGCGACTTGTCGTCGGTGACGTTGATTTTCAGTTTCTTGAAATCGTCTTTTTTTCTGTGCAACCGCTGTTTCCTCACCAGTAATCTTTCGACGACCCATAGTTATTTCTTGTTATAACAATTATTCAAATATTGGAAGAATTGACAATTAAAAGAAATCTCTTATTATACTATAAAATTTTCCTAAATTTTATACTTCACAACGGACTTTTCACTAACCGAATATTCAATAAAATTTGAATATTAGTCACTTCATTAAATCAACAAAAATACTTCTTCCTTAATTTTTGTAAAGGAATTTAAATGTTATTACAATAATTTTAATTAATTACGCGATGGTCGAATTTGTAAACTCTCCAGCGCTATAAACGTCCGTGTGTGCAAAATGGTTTTTTTTTTTAATCCCTCCATCAGATGAAAGTTGATAAGTATCAAATGCAAATTTTTTTTTTAAAATCATTCAACACAGATCATAAGTAATAGAATTAAAAACTGAGAGAATAGATGCTTATTTAAATATTCAAACTTATAAGAACGATTTAAATAATTTCATTATCTAATGAATCGATTATAAGTTCATCAATTAGGTTGATTACATTTTGGTTTCGGGCATATGTAGTTTTTGGTATTTTTAGTTTAGTTTGGTTGTGGTTTTTGCAGTTTCAATGAGGCTTGGTGGTTCAAGTTAAGTATACAGTTAGGTGATAAAAATCAATAATAAATGTATAAATAAAAATACTTTTGAAATAAAGTTAATTTATTGACTTTCCAAAAATACTGAATAATTCAGTCGAGTAATGTAATTCGTAGAACTATAATGATATCTAGATTATAAACTGGAAAAATATATGTGCTTGTCGTTTAATCAATACCTGAAAAAAAATGAATAAGTCAATTCTCGTGTATTCACAATAGCAAAAATTAAACATGAAAAAAATTAATATTTTACTTACTATCGTTCAATTAACTGTGCTTCTAAGGCTGAAGTTATTACACAGCCGTAAATAGAATCAAAATTCAAAGTAGACTTAAATCCCAGTAGTAAATAGATTCTGAAGCAGCAGAATAACTGAAACATTAATTATTACAAATTAATGAATAAACGAATCGTATATGAACACAACAGTTAAAAAAAGTATTGTAAAATATGAAATATACATATACTTACGTTTGTATTTACTATATGAATCTTAGATTTTAAATTCCAACTGACGTAAACAAATTGTAAAGCAACAGAGTAGCTGAAACATGGAATGTTATATATTAATGAATAAATGAAGTTGTTATTGGAAAATATTAAACATATATACTTACGTTTGTATTAACTCTCTCTATGATACTGATGTTTTTGTTAGATGATCATGTGCAATTATCAAATTATAAAAATTGAATGTACACATTTGAATTTGAATGTTGTTGCTATCATATTAATAAAATAATTTCTCGAATGTTTTAAAAAATTGCATTTATTTTACAAAATTTTAAGAAAAATTAAAAAAGAAAGGTTATAATTTTCAAAATAACCCTGACGTATACCATAATAACACACATAATCATCTATACTAGCTGATAATTATTATTAAAAAAAATTAAATCTTTTTACACTATATAACAATAAAGAAACGGCACTTACTTATCGATGTAGATATTATTAACAAAAAAATTCAATGCCTATGAAGTAGCGTGTCGCGTGTTCACAAAGATGGAGTAAACAACGTTGAATGAGGTTAAGGTCACTGCTTGATGAATCATAATTTTGAATGATTGATAAACTGAATAGAAAAAAAAGAACCTTTTTTCAGAATTATATTGAGATTCTTAACAATCTTAAAAATGTGATCCCGGTATACCAATATCAATAAATTTTTGTTTATAATAATTCATTGCCACAAAATTCAACTCGTTAATTTAAAACTTCTTAAAGGGACGATAACAAATATTTATTATCAGTAACTACTATCAAAAAATTTTTTTATTAGAGTTTTATTCCACTACACAACTCTAGTACAAAAAATGTCATAAACAATAAATACAAAATTATATTTCCTTTAAATATCTTTATCTTATAAAAAAATATAATATGCAAATTATTGCATAATCGTTAAAAACATATCTGAATCTACATTTGTACATCATATAAATATTAGGTTTACACATTATTATACATTTTTACAATGTTACAGTTACAATTTACAGTAGTTGTATATTTTATATTGCAACGATTACCGAAAATCGTAAGACTCGCGCGAGGTTAACGAGCGGCTAAGCGAGAGGAGCCGCGTTCGGTTCGCGAGAGAGAGAGAGCGCGTAAGGGGCAATGACCGGGAGGGGAGGCTCCGACCGGCAGTATGACTGTGCTACTCAGTCCGTTCATATCGTGCGCCTAACCTATCACCGAGCCCTTCGAAGTTTTCGCGTGTTTTGCCATTGACATTGCGAACCTGAGTGCGTGGGTGGGTGTGCTAGCAGCAGTACCAGAAGTAGCAGTAGCAGCGACTGCAGTAGCAGCAACAGCAGCAGCAGCAATAGCAGCAACATCAGTGGCAACAACAACATCAGCAGCAACACCAATTGAAGCGGTGCAGCAAGCAGCGGATCGGTCTATTAACGGCGTGTTAGTCGGATACGGTTGGCCACCGTATCCTCATCGATATTGCGGTAGGTGCACCTTCTCCCCCATTTCAATTGTTAATATAATTTGCGTGCGAATCCGCGCAGCGAGCGCGAAGTATTCATTTGTTGCGTGCGAGCAGGTAGTTCGCGGTAATCGCGGTTTTTTTCTCTCTCTCTCAATTTGCGTGTGTTGTCATTCACGCGTGCGTGCGTTAGACTCTCGGCAGATTCCCCGTGTCATTGATTTAATTGAATAAATCAATCATTATTTTCATTTAAACGAGTTTCCGTTATTGTGTTTTTTCCTTTGTCCGGAGGTCGCGTCAGTGTTTACGTTCGATTCGCCGGTTGCGTAGCACGAACCGTGCGAATTCCGATAGACGCGAGTCGACTACTTAGGTTCCGGCGGCGGCCGCACGAGCGCTACTAGCAAGGGGCGACAGCGCCGCCAAGAGGTGAGTTGGGGGAACCCAACTCGGAACAGTGAAGAGACTCTGCGCATGCGCACTCCGAGGCAAGGTAGGTTACTGTGCTTTGAGCACATAGATAACAAGGCTTCGTCTAGTTATAATAAGGGCAATTTTAGAGATTATCGACTGAACGACAGCCTGTTACAATATACATTTAAAGCTAACTTTAATTTTTAACATTTGGCACATTAAAAAATCTTGAGAAGTTTTTTAGATCGTAGAGTATTTAAAGAAAAGGTTTGGAGCACTTTAACTAATTTATGATAAGAAAAATACTGAATGGTAATGATACCTAATTATAATGCTAATTTGTTATATGACATATTTGAAATTTACATTTAAATGAAAAAAATAAATAGTGAAAATAAATAATGATCATAACGCTAAATGAAAACTGGAATGATTTGAAGAAACATAAATTGAAAGCAGAACTATTCATGGCCACGTTTTGGAGTTTTAACACCAAGAGCCACTTGAGCAGCTGACATAACCGGAGCTCCAGGAACTGCGATGATTGAGTTTTCATCCCTGCATTTTATAGTGATTGGTCCGGCCCCTGAAAAGTATCAATTAAACGAATCACATTAAAATAGATACAGATTAAATGAATTTGAAAGTTTGAAATATAAATTCCATATTTTTATTATATTATAAGGTATTATGTATTATTATTTTGTTGGGTTATTTTACACATACCAGATGTATCAACTTCACCGATTACTATGACACGAACTC